AGCCCACTGAGAGCGGTAATGAAGCAGAAACTAGGGCCGGGGCGATACGACCTCAGATCAATATCATGATAAATTGGGCAGTTTTACCTTGATAACGATAAATGCACGATAAATGCTCTGGCTCCTCTATCAGAAATAAGGGCATATGGAGGAAATGCAACTGATCCATTTATAATTAATTGAATAAATGACATTTACATATTACTTTCAATTAAATAATTATGTCTTATATCCATTCAAGTTTAAACATTCAACATTGTCTAATTGAATAGGAGGAAAATGTTTCCTCACTTGCAGACATTCTTGAGAAAGGTATTGGAGCGTTTTGCACATCTTTGAACTCAACAGTGTGGTTGTGCTGTAGAAGGTGGAGGTTGGATGTGTTACTTTGGGTATTCATGACAGTTTTAAGACAAACTTTGCATTTCCTGTTCTTTTGCTCAACATCTATGGTGTCATTTTGGTGCCACCGAACTGTGTGCAGTGAGAACAATGTGCATCGTTTAAACTTGCACACCTTCACTCAAAACCATTCTGCCGTGCGCTCAACTCTGACGAGTCGCACGCAACTTCTCCCCGCACGCTCAGCTTCATCTCTGCTCTTGCTCGGCTCGCAGGATAAATTTTTGTAATTTGGTTTACAGCTGTGTTAGATGCGTCTTCAGTGAGCTCATCCACTATTCTCTATGTTTACGCTTCTGACAGGATTGGTGGAGTCACGTGATTACACACTGCTGCACTGTCTTAAAGGGGACGGAAATACCAGCCACCAGCACACACAGGCAAAACAGCAGAATTATTTACAGACTTATTTACAAAATTTACAGACATTGGGAAAATTTGCACCGGTTATTGTACTAAATTATGATAACGGTAAAAAACCTTTTTATCGCCCAGCCCTATTGCAAAGTAGGAGAACAGTACTACTGCTATCAGTCAAACTCACGATAAAAGAAACCAAAAAACAAAATAAAAAGGAATTAGGAATAATAGGTAAAGCTAAAAAAAGAACATAGACAAACAGTAACAAAAATAACGTAATAAAACACAAATGCAAGAAACAAAAGCCTTGTGTTAAATCCTGACTGACTAATTACTTAATAATCTAATTTCAACTATTTTTATTCAACAATTTTTAGTAAAAAATTGCAGGTAATCTAATATAAGCAGATAGTAAGGATTGCTTTAAAATTAAAATGTTCTAGTTAAAAAAAGGCAAATGTAACTTTAAAGAAAGACGTTTCTCCCTTTTAAATAATAGTGAAGTCCTTCTTCTGTAATGAACTATTATCTTTATAATTGATAATCCATAGAAAACACAAAGTCCTGACTTTATAATTATAAACCCAGGAACCTCCTGCTCACAACAAAGGAGCCAAGTAGTCATTTGCACACTTGTCACATCAAGTGCACAAGCAAATGTGCTTATGTTTCCATAGCAACGAGTACAGTAGATATGGTACAACAGGGTATCACTTAACAAGCACTTACAAATAATACAATACAAATAATTCAAGGAGCCCTAAAAACGGCTCAAGATCCTCATTTAGCTCTTGAAATGTATTTTTCTACGGTAAAGAAAACATCTTCACTAGACAATTCACAAAGTAAAATTAATGTCACATTTAACTTTTACATTTTAAATATTCAGTCCCCTAAAACACCTCCAGGCTTTGCCTTGGGTTACCATTAAAGCTATGCATTAAAGTGTTGGAGCAAAAAAAGGTTATTCTAGAGTGATCAACCAAGATGCATGTTAAAGGCCAATTAAATAAGAATCTAAGTGTACAGTGCCAGAACATGGACTAGAAAAGTTTGGTAACTTACAGTCCTTCATCATTACCAGAACAGTTGATGAACACTACATACTTTTCATCATTGACGGCTTTTCTGTGGACCTACGTCAAGCCTGACGTGCCATATTATTAGAACGTGACGTTTTACACAGGAAAAAATTTTGTTGAAAGCATCAACAATGATAAAGAATATTTACTACTTTGCAATAAACTTAAAGACCACCTCTGCTAATCATTTACTGGTAAACAATAGTAACATGCCCTGTGTATCATCCTTATCCACCTATCCTTCTGTCAGCTTCAGCATTACAGCCACCAACAACAAACTTTTAGGTTAAATGTTTTTAAACCTCCGTACAAATGACATTAAAAGGGATGAGCTGACATCTCTGTCTGAATCAGAGCAAAAGTCCAAAATATTTTACATTCCTTCCTTATCTCGTTTCTAGATTTATAGCAGTTTCTTTCGTTAGAGGCAGTACATTTATCAGGTAAATATTTCTGTCTGAAAAGTGTTATGTCTGTCTTTGTTTTTACTTTCTTTTATTGCCACCATGACAGTGTTTCCAATTTAGTACACAGCCAGAGCACTGCACTATAGGACATTGCAAACGAATAAACAATTTTAATTTTTGCTCCAAATTTGAGCTATCACAATGGTTTTAAAATAATTAGCTGATTACTTTGTATTTTTTGATAAATTAGTTAATTATTGGATAGCAAAAGGTGCATAACAGGAGATTTCTTTTTTTTATATACATAACTTGAATCAAGGGAATCTAAATCTATGCCAATAGAGGAATTCCACATGGAGAGTGATTAAAGACAAAAAAAAGCGCTTTCATCTCAATACAAAATATACATTTCTGTGGTCTTGGTTTAATAACTGCTCAATTCCCACCAACCTTATATGTGTCATTAACTGCCATCACTTTATTAATTTGTTCTTGAATTATATAAAGTACTAGTATCAATATGTGGCATAAATGCACAGTAATGTCATACAGGAAACAGAAAAAAATATTTAATAGCAGCAATCCAATTTGAGATTAGATTGCATGGAAAAGAATCTATGAATCGAATTTTTTCTTGAAATGTTAATCGACACCCCTCCCTAAAGCTAAGGGTTACCAATTATGGGCATATTTTATCTAAATACCCCACTCTGTTTAAAGGTCCCGATACTTATATACTAAGGGATAATACAACAGAAAATGGCAAATGTATAGGCTGCAGAAATACTTAGTCTCAGTGTTCTAAGGTCAGGAATGCAATGAGTTTACATGTCTTTTTTTTCCTTTACAAGCCTTTTAAAACCTATTTATGATATGCTTTTAATATTTTTATTTTCATTTTGAAACACTTGTTTATTGTTGATTTACTGAGAATATCTACTTTAAGATAAAAGTAAGTTATTACTAAAGAATCAATGGTTGGAGTTACATGACCCTCGGATGGCTAACTCCAGTAGCTTGGTCTTCCTGACCTTTGGCCTTGGCTAAACCAGCTTGCCACACTCTAGCATCAAAATTGTCCAGGCTTGGCCCATCTGAACAAATTACTTTCCAATGAAGCAAAGTAAATACCATAGAATTGATCACTTTTATCATAAAGTAATTGAATTGCTAAATACAAAAAAAATCTCCAGCCTTAAAAAAGATTAACTGATCAGTCGAGTAATTAAAGCTGGAAATCTAATTTAAATCTCCATCCAATGTATTCATTTAGAGCTACTTTTTCCTTTTTGCTTTACAAAATAAAGCACATCATAAAGTCTGCTGCAGCCAACATTACAAATCAAAGTCATTAAGACTGATAATTGCCGGTGTTCTGTCAGATAAGCATACCCGGTCAGACCAGCATACCCATAGTTAGAGGTGAGTATTGGCATGAGTGTTGCGATTCGATACATGTCGAGATACTTGGGTCACGATACGATATTATCACGATATTGCAGTATCACTATATATTGCCATATTTTCCCCAGCTATCAAAATCAAATGATGAGATTTTATGTTATTACATCATGCTCCACTACCCAATATCAGTTTTGTGTCATTTGGAGCTTTACCAAAGATATTCGGTTTTTGCAATCCAAGTAACGTGTGCGGATGACGTCATACACACTCTGCTTTGTTTAAAAAAAATATAAATATAAAAAATATAACCGCGGATGTCTGGGGACAATGATTCGCCTTCATGTTATGAATGTTGGTGCACCATAAAGCATAAATTATAAACAGTTTAGTTTGTGTCTTCAACTCGTTGCCCATACACTGTACCAGAGACTGCACCTTACCTGCACTACCTCAGCCTGGAACAAACTATTGCTGCTGTTTTTATTGCTTTTTATTGTAATGTTTATATTTCATACTTATATTTATCTTACCACTCTTACCTGTCATGTCCCGCACTTTATGTCAGTTTTTAAATGTCAGTCTTGTATATT